CGGAGGCGCCGCCAAGCAAGGGGGCTTGCAGTCTGGCGCTCGGTTCATCGTCGCCAAGACTGCTAGGATCTTGTTTTTGGCTAGCCATGGCTTCTTCCAGGAATAGTTATCCAAATCTGACGAGTCTGGCCTGATAGACTGTCTGAACCGCCGGGCTCAATAATAACACGACAAGTCCATGTTGTTAAGTCTGGAAGATGGGTTGAGGATTGAAAGCCAATGAACGAGGGTATGATTAGCGACCTTGTCTTAGGATAAAGTTGAACAAGGTCGACCTAAGCGCCACGATACATACCCGCCCTGTCGTTCAGCTGCTGCTGAGATCGAAGTTTATGAGGCGCTTGGGACGAATAGACATGGGTGTAACGAAGACCAAATCGAAATGGGAACCGCCTGATCGGGCTTGTTTACTCGGATAATGTAAATGACGCATTTTCTGTTTTTCTTTGTAAGGTTACGTGTATATGATGAATGTGAAGTCTTCGAGGCAAGGTTAGTAGGTAGGTACCTGGTAGTTGAGGCTCTGTGGATTTTAGTGCACAGGTGCTCCTGCATCCATCTGCACTTGCACCTTGCCTAAGGTAGCTTGCACATAGATCTCCAGTGCAGCAGCTGCAGGTACAACGGGCCTGTCTCCTGCCCTAGTCATGAACCTCCACTCGACCCAGAAATGGTTTGTTTCAACTAGAGATTCTCGGGGAGAAAGAAGGAGAGGAGAGGACCTACGGATAGAGGAGACAAGACCCATATTCTGGTTACCTAGACACGCTAAGGTTGCCTCTTTTTCTCTGCCGTCCTAAATACGGAACACGGCCACTGGTTTCGACTTTCTTGGTTGGCTGTGATTTGCATATGACAAGCCTCGGGGAGCAAGAAAACACCAGACCTTCATACAGGGTGCCAAAATAAACTTAGTAAAAGATATCATAAATTAATGTTAAGTTACTTAAGCCTTTTTGTCATTTAGGATCAAGGTCTCAAGTTTTCTTTCCTCCCCTAGATAAGGTATCCGTCTTCCTTGAGTTATCTCGCGTTGCGGCCCTTGTTGGGTCTTCAGGCTTCAACTGATCGGAAGTTTCGATGAAACATTTGCACATCTCCACCCTCAACTGAAAATCACTACCTCTTGAGAACAAGCTGAGCAATGCAAAATGCGTATTGTTGATCATGAGCGACGCCGCATCAACAGATCGCCTCCGAGATCGACATGGTAATTCCGTCGGTAAAGGCTTTGTCAAAATTATTAAACAATGGGATAATCGACACTTATTCCCTTTGTGACATGGCCGTCCTTTTTCCGATGTCACCTCAGTTGTGCTTTTTACAGTAACCTCCTGGCAAGGGTGAGTCTCAGCTGGACGACTGGCAGCTCGATATAGCAACTTATACTTTACCTCCGACAACCACGGACCCGATGAAGGCGTTTATACAACAAGCTCAGCTGTCGCCCTCTTCCGATCAGGACACAAGTGACACCGTGCTTGGGAATTCAATCGGCTTTGTGCAAGGATTGGGGTCGAAGGCGTCGATTGTTTAAGGTGATGAACAAGGAGGACAAGTTAGATACAAAAGGCGCCAACGACCTGAGCGGCTACAGCGGAGGCTGATATGCTCCGAGAGACAAAGATGTTGTACAGAACACGGGCAGAGATAAGACTTCAAGCAAGGGGATGATGAACCCGGAGTCGTGCAGACAAGATAATACTTCAGGAGCACCAGCAATGCCACCTTAGGGCTGTCCAACAAGATGCGCTGGCATGAACAGGAATAGTTTAGGATGGGATGGGATGGGATGGGATGATTCTGAAAAGGGTCAAGATCTAACTGTACCTTGTTTATGTAGGTAGTATTGAACATCCACTGGCGAATTGCTGTTATCGCATAATATTGGCATACAGCTTGAAACACCAAACCCCGGCTCCGAAGCCACGACAGCACAGCAGAAAAATAGGCGATCATAGAGAGAAGGATACGCATGATGATTTGAGGATCAGTCTGCAGGGATCTGGTACAACTCATCAAGTCTCCAAGAAATGGTCTGCAGATCTGGAGATGTTTTCTTGCTTTTGGACCTTGCTCTACGCTTTACAGGATCAACCTGGGAGTTATCTCCGTGCCGTGTCTATCAAAGTCTGTCATTCATATCTTCAGATGTAGCTGAAGGTGACCTGAGTATCAGGTCAAGCACGTGGCGCAGCTAGCAAAAGATGAGGTCGACGTCCTGAGACTACGACGGGTAAAAAACCAGGAGCGTGCCGTCCGCCCACTAAAGCCCACCTGTAGCGTCAGGGGTCATCTTAGTGTGCCGGCAGTCTCTTTTTCTTCTGTGGAACCTATCCCGTAGTCCTGGGTCTGAAACATCAAGCGCCCCATCACGACTTTTATCGGCGCGTCGCATCTTCACCTTTAACCTCTTTCTCACCCAATCACTGATGGGAACTGTTCCGAGTCCACATACTCCACTGAGTCTTGGCTGGGACAGCAACAGTTCAGCGTTATGCTAACCGTAGCGTTGGCGTTCTCATCCTGTGCAGTACCCGTACCTGTACCCCTGGAGGGCTTTCCTCTCGCTATGCCATGTCGTAAGTGGTGCTGGTCGCGGCCATGGCCATGCCCACGTTGGAGGAAACATTCATTCATCAATGGAGTCAATGCAATGCAAGTCATGGGGGAGTTTGGTGTGGGTTTAGACAAAGAGGCATCCACTTGAGGGCAAAAAGTTTGATCTTCTTGTTTGTATGTAGCTATATAGATCTCCTGGTCCCTTCTCATATCTTATGCCCGAGCTGTTGCTTCATTTCATTTCACTTCACTTCACGCCTCTTCTCTGATTCATTCAAACTCTGAGAGTTGTTAAAAGTTCTATTCATTTCTGTTATTGCTTTCTCCTTCCTCAATGCTATCAAAGCCCTTGTTTCCTTAACCTTCATTCTTTCAATATGCATATCCCCTGGGCGGATCTATTTACCGGGACGACTTTCGTTACTTCAGTCAAACCTTCAACTCAAGCTCGAGGCGTCACCACATATACTGAAAAGGCAGTTACTGCTATCCAAGTTCTGAATGAAGAATTCTACAATTCTGCCACCGGTGTGTGGGATAATGCTTGGTGGTCGAGTGCAAATGTCAGTCTAGGTCTAAAGTCTCTTATACTAGACACAAAGCTAACAGCAACAACAAGATCATAACCACGCTCTCTGATTTTTCAACTCTACGTCTCGAAGAAGCCAACAAGTTAAATATCGGAGGAGTTCTCGCCACAACCTACGAAAACGCCCAAAAGACAACGGTCCATACCATGAAGACAATGACAAACGGCCTTGTTGCTTCTTCCTACTGTATAGACTCAAGCTCAGGCTGTATGATGAAGCGGGGTTTCTTGGGAAAGCGTGGTTTCGACGACTTCCTCAACGAGTTTTACGACGATGAAGGCTGGTGGGCTCTGGCGTGGATAAGGGCATCAGATGCAACTGGCAATGACCAGTATCTCGAGGCTGCTATCGACATCTTCAACGATATGCAGACCGGCACAAACACACCTTGCGGCGGTGGTATAAGGTGGAAGAAAGAGGGCGAGGATGGCTCAGGCTACGTCAATGCGATTGCAAACGAACTATATCTCGCAACTGCTGCTTCGTTAGCACGACGTGTTTCAAAGAACAGCACATACCTCGACATAGCCAAGAAGCAGTGGAACTGGTTCTCCGACAGTGGCATGATCAACGAGAAGGGACTTATTAACGATGGGTTGAACGGCGAATGCAAGAATAACGGTCTTCAGACTTGGAGTTACAACCAAGGAGTCATTCTGGGCGCTCTCGTCGAACTTTCGCTTGCCACGGGAGACGACGCTTACACCGACAAAGCTCACAAGATCGCTTATGCTGCCATTAAGGAACTTACCAACAAAGATGGTATCCTTATCGAGAGTGACGGTTGTGAGACCAAGGAGGGTCACTGCGGCGCAGACGGACAGCAGTTCAAAGGTATCTTTGTCAGAAACCTACGATACTTGCACACTGTTTCACCAAAGCCCTTGTACCGTCGCTTTATCACCAAGAACGCCATCTCCATTTGGAAGAGGAGCCGCAGCAAAGACAACAAGCTAGGCGTTTCCTGGGCTGGGCCCTATATCGACGCCACTGGCCCCTCGCACAGCAGTGCTTTGGATGCTATAGTAGCGGCGATTGCAGTTTCAAACTTATGATTTAGAGCGGGAAAAAGACTGGGCGTCATGGACGGGTAAAAAAACAAACTAGGGATTGGATTTATTGGCGAACCTGGGTTATTTGATTGGGCATAGAGGAACACGGCTTACGAGCATCAGACAAGATAGGGTCTGTGACTCCTGGTTTATCTTATTTGTTAATGGTTGATACCCTGTTAGAGGATTTGGAGGAGAGACAAGGCAGCTGGAGGTATTTAACAGAGAGGATATGGACGCTTAAGGCGCCCATAGACAGACAGACAGACATTCTTGATAACTGTGTAAACATAATCAGTTTTGAAAGTATGATGACACAATAAAATTGAAAGCATCTACTGACCTTTGGGCTCCTTACACAACGTCGAAGTGTTTGAATTTACATAATTGCTTTCATGAAGTGCGAGTTGCGGCTCAAATTGCTAGGTACCTTACCTAGGTATTCATTGATATACAGTGTGAGCTACTATGGCCAAGGCCCGCACTGTACTGAGCCAAGGACGGTGAGCTTCTGATGCACCAATTTACAACAGCTCTCGTTCTCTACAACCAATGTGCGATCTAGAAAAGCCATAGCAAACTTTCCAGGTTTGATTCAAGTTGAGATAGTTCCTGAGAGTCAGGCTCATTACTATTGGTTCACCTCTATCCTCCTCGAATCACTACCATTCAACTTGGACCCGCTCATCTCGTCAACTCGTTGCCTGGCCTCGCACACCATGTTCAAGTAACAACTTCAGTCCTAACTACAAAAACTTGAGCAATCTGATTGTATGTTCCTGTTGCTACTGGAGAAATGGACGCACCAGAAGCAGATGTCGATATCAAGCTCCAGAAGATCTCAGCGGATCTTCTAGGGGACTTTGACCGCTCTCTGCCAAATTTCCTCTGGAAGCCGGATGGCCACGGCGGCACAAGAGTGCGCTCGCGGGTGCGCGCAAAGGAGATATTCCGACTTACCAATACTGTATGCTGTCTTCTACACTAATAGTAATATACTCACTCTCTTCTTTAGCTCCTAGACCCATTCCAAGAACTTCCTCAGCTGTTGGATCCCTACCTTACCAAGTGGATTCCCCTCCTTGCTGAGGCGTTTCTCAAGCACCTCCAAACTCGCCATCGTGGAAAAACACTCTCATCACGCTCTAAGCTCTTGGTCTCGGTTGAGTTTGCCATATGCAAAATCATATACACATTTTGCAAGATCCGTGGCGAAAAGATCATTGTGCGTTTTCTCAATGTTGAAGCCAAGTATCTAGAGTTGCTCCTCTCTGCCATTGAAGAGTCTGAGCAAGCTTCCGTTGATGACGTTGCTCTCGGAAAATGGTCGTGGGAGGAACGATATGTCGTTCTTTTGTGGCTTTCGCATCTCTTGCTGGCTCCCTTTGACCTCTCCACCATATCTTCCGTCGACTTGCAAGATGTTACAGTGCCAGAGATCCCAGGCCTGGTCTGGCCTGAGAACCTCCCTGCCATTACCGTACGTGTGATTCCTCTTGCTATCAAGTACCTTGGTACTCCCGGAAAGGAAAGGGACGCTGCAAAGGCTCTGTTGGTGAGAATGTCTATTCGTCGCGATATGCAGCAGCTTGGCGTCCTCGAAAGCCTCATAAACTGGTCCCTTGCTTCTCTACGCCCAAAGAAGGACCAGACGCTACAAAAAACATACTTCTATCTAGGAGTCCTATCGTTCCTAGCCGGTGTGTTGCGAGCGTCGTCGGATACATCTGACATGAATCCTTATCTTTCAACCATCTTCTATGCTATCCACGAAATATCCACTGGCGAAAATGCGCTCTCTAAAGCGATTATCTCGTTAGCATTGGCAAGGAAAATGATTCTGAAGGTCATTCGATCTGTGGTTGTTTTGCGCCTCCGCCAGACACCACAAGATATGACCAGCACTGAGCTTACGGAGACAGCTATTGGGTATTTGCTTGAATCTGTATCTGACAACGATACACCAGTACGGCTTGCAGCAAGCAAGTCTTTGAGTATCATCACTTTGAAGTTAGATCCCGATATGGCTTCTCAGGTTGTCGAGGCTGTTCTTGAATCACTGAATCGAAATGTCCTCTGGACAAAACCCGCTGGGGGCAAACCAGTCCGAGACTTGTCTGCTGTGAATAACCTCGAATGGCATGGGCTCATGCTCACATTATCACACTTACTCTATCGAAGATCACCGCCTACCGAACAATTATCCGATATTATCCATGCTCTGCTGCTTGGCCTGTCATTCGAGCAGCGAAGTGTGTCTGGAGGTAGTGTTGGAACCAATGTGCGAGATGCTGCTTGTTTTGGTATTTGGGCCCTCGCCCGCCGATACGCAAGCTCTGAGCTCCTAGCGATTCCAACACACTCCGTCTTTGCAGCCAAAGCTCATCCGGCAACAAGTTCGATCCTCCAAGTCCTTGCAACAGAACTCGTTGTGACTGCTTCTCTAGACCCTGCGGGAAACATTAGACGCGGTGCATCGGCTGCCTTGCAAGAACTTGTTGGACGACATCCGGATACTGTTGAGCAGGGTATTTGGGTGGTGCAAACTGTCGATTACCACGCTGTTGCACGACGTTCCAGAGCAATCGAGGAGGTTGCGGTAAACGCGACTCGTCTTGCAAGCCAGTATGGCGAGGCCATCATTGATACCCTCCTAGGCTGGAGAGGTATCGGCGACCTTGACGCTGCTTCAAGACGTGTATCTGGTGCCGCTTTTGGAGTCCTCACCTATGAGTTATCGGACATCAAGTCCGGGGACTCTCTTGCCCGGTTCAAAGTCATTATTCAACTGCTGACTGATCGCCTCAAAACGCTTCAACCTCGTCAGGTTGAGGAGAGACACGGTCTGTTGCTATGTTTTGCCTCTGTACTCGACAAATTCCCAGCCTTGTTCATCCCAAGCGCAGAAAAGAATAACCTGGAGCTGATTGATGAAATACTATCAACGGTCTCAGGTGCGTTGGAGAACTTGCAGTCAACTGCTTATCGAAAACCGGAATTGCTCGCAGAAGCCGCAAGCCGCCTAGTCGTTTCAGCGTTGCCTATTTTGCAAATTTCAATTCTGGGCGCGGATTCACAGCAAGCCCTTTGTCCAGGCCAAGAGCTCCTTCATCCGGGGAATGTGTCAGGCTATTTGAGTCTCGTATCTGCACTCGATTCGTGCGATAAGGACCGAAGTGCGACGGTAGCACGACTGATCTCGGCATTACGCACCATTATCCCAACCTGGCTGAACCGCAGCGAGCAAGAAACAATTGAGCCAACTGCTGCTGCATCCCTGATTCTTCTCATTCTTTCTAAGCCAGATGATAGAGAGACACTCCTGAGAGGATGGGCCGAAACTGTCCAACACCGCCCAACAAGCAGAACCTCAGTACATGGGATTGGTTACTTTTCTGCGCTTACAGTCGCGCAGCCTCTGGTAAGCTCGTCTGGGGATGTGGCCTGCCAGGCGATCCTAGAGCGTTGGACATGGGATAGCGAAGTTGAGACTCGTGTCGCCATCTTGCAGAGCTTGGCTCAAAGCAATGTTCTGCATAGCAAGCCTCTGGCTTTTCTACAGTTGATCGCTGAGGGTTTGGACGATTATACTACGAATGCCCGAGGAGATGTTGGATCGCACGTCCGTGTGCACGCTCTGAGAGCCGTGAAGACCTTGTGGAGTAAGCTTGATGATTCAATTGTGCAAGGCGAATGGGAGGAGGCTTCCGTGCAGGCTCTATTCTTCAGTGTCCTTCGTCTTGCTGCAGAGAAACTCGACCGTGTACGGCCTGAAGCTCAGGCCGCAGTTGCATTGGTTCTAGAAAACGGGTACGTGCCAAATTTTCAAATGCCAGATTACGAGACATACGACTGATTTCTCTTAGCCACGCGAAGCACTTCCGCGAACTCACTTTCTCTTCCAGGGCCTACTTTGAGAGTCTCCTTGAGCTTCAGGCGGGCGCTCGTCTTCGCCCATTGCTTGGTGATGTGGCTAAAGGAGACACAGAGAAATGGATGACAGAACTCATGTCTGGGTTTGTGGGATCTGCAGATACGGGCAATGAGGACCTTGTCATTGCTAGTCGAGCAGCGCTCTGCGACTTCTGCGAGGCCAACCACGAGAACCTAGACCTTATCTGTCATGCGATGTTACAGAATCTCAAGTCCCGACAGGGCCAGGATAGGGTGATCGTGCCAACCCTAGAGATCATTGCATTCCTTTTCCAGATGCAGCTCTTCCAGAAGAGCAGCGTCAACCTTCGTAGCTTGTGCATGCAGACACAAAAGGCGAGTTACAAAACAGGCAACGTCCGAAAGCTCGAAGCGTGCACCAAAGTCTATTGCGGTATTGCGTCAATGGCTGGCCAGGAAGGCGCTGAGACAGGTGTCCAAGAAGCTAGGAAACGCTTGGGTGCTCTGTTGCATCATCCCTGGCCCAAGGTCAGGAGCATGGTTGTTGATGGCCTATGGGGGGTGCTTGAAGAGGAGGAAGAAATCGCACAGAAGTTGAAGGGTGTTGACTGGGGCCAAGCCGGGAAAGTGCAGATCAAAGCTGCAGTTGAAGAACTGAGGTTGGGCTAGTTTTCAGACTGTATCCAAATAGGGCAGCTCGATAATGTTTGAGGAGGTGTACCAGAGTCGCAGTGGCTGCGCGGCTTGAACTTTGGTTCCTGATCGACCCGCGATTACAAGGCTGAATATCATTGCAAAAGTCAAGAGCCGTTATCTACCGAACAAAGAGAGTTGGTAGGCGTCAGACTTGTTGAATCGTTGTGACCCAGAGAGGAAGGTAAGTTAACCAACAGCCATCCATTAGCAAGCCTCTAATGAATACCGCCAGTCAAATGGTTTGAGAGACCAGGATTGTTGCAAAACTATGCATGGTGCTGCATGGCTCGAATAGTAGTGCAAAAGCCACAGCACTGTCTTGGTTGACGAATTGCCCAGTCAAGCCAGTGACCGACTCGTCAAAGTTCAGCCGACCTGGGGCTATTGAAACAAGACATTGTTGATTTGCGCCATGTTTCTGCCGGTGTTCTAGAAAAGCCACTAGATGTCTCGGAACGCCCGCGAAGAACGGTCTTGATCATGATCTCACATAAATACCAGCCAGTGTGATAGGGTTGAGATGATGAAAAGAGATAGTTATTTGCATTAGCGTCTCGGGACCGAGACGAACAAGCTGAAGGGCAGCTAATGGGAGTTAAGGTCACTAGCCTGGAGGAATGAGCAGAAACTGTACATGCATTAAGCTAACTATGACTGAATGAACGAAGTTGCTGATGTGTTCTAATACTGAGGGACTTTAATGAGAAGGATCAACACAAATGGTACCGAGTCAAGCGTTGACGAGTTCGTGGCTTTGAACCCACTCTGAAGCATTGAGCTCGTTGTGCATTGCTTGCGAAACCGTGACAGACCTTAACCAATTTCGACATTGTATGGAGGAGAGATGTCCTGTTTCATGGTCATACAAGTCCGAAGCTGTTACAGCAACGCCGTGTTACTAAGTAGGCAAACCAGAAGACAGCGGAATCGGGCCGGGAATGATGGTTTTGACAGGCCTTTATGACCGATATTCCAAAACTGGATAGGAACCGTTGCTGCAATATCCAGGGGTAGTTCCGTGAGATTAGCCAATTAATTATTGACTATTTCTGACCTGCTAGCTCTACCTGAAGCTTTGTTGTGGATGTTGTGTAAATAGACGAGACGAACATGGCGTGTTTTGCTCCGCACAGGATTATAGGCGTCAAAGCCAAAGCTGCGCTAGAGAGACCATAGACTCATAGAGGCGAGTGAGATGAGGCCAACGGTCCAAGTTGGAGAGAGATAAGGCTGATGCATGTATCGTGAGATGTGGAGTTCTGCAGATAAGGAGAAAGATATGTGGATATTAATCCGTGCAGGCTATTACAATCACCCACAATTTCGTATCATGTCGTGCCGCGTGCGTACCTATGCCTAAGAAGACTTGGGATGGCCTTGGCTCTCCATATTTGATTCTGGGGTTGTGAGACAGAGATCCTCGATGCCTGAGGTTAAGACCTTGACCTGCAAGATGAGGAGGGAACAGCTATGAATCCCACTTGGACCCAATCTGCCTTCCTTGAAAGCGGAAATCAGGAAGTCGTGGCAAGCACGGCCTTCGCTAAACTCTAACGCGCACGGTCAAAATATCAACTCAACTCGACTCGAGATGCTTTTTCTCAATCATGAAATTGCTTGACTTTCACAGGAACCTACCACATCATTCCAGGAGTCCCAGTAGGACGGTCCGAACGTGCGTGGGGGGTCATATGCCTCTCTTATCAATTCTGGCAACCACGTTGTCGCGTGATGTGACATGTCCTTCCTTGATGGGCGGCTGGCTGCTCGATTGGACCCTTGTTTCAACGTCTAAAGCCGGGGGAAATGCGAGCTTCATATTGGACGGCCTATTTTGCCCGCTTTTCAGCATCGGGCCAGCAAACTCAAGTCTACGAAGATGTCACTATCACATCGGATACGGCAATGCCAATGCAAAAGAACAGCTCATGATCAAGCACTCCCACGACGGAATGGCTGCGGCCAGTCAGCGGAAGCCAAACCTGGGCGCCGTGATAAGCGACATGGAATCGCGTCCAGCCACAACAGCGAGATGGTAACACCTTTCCGCTGCTCCTTTCACGTATCGGGCAGTTCCGTACTAGACACGTGAAATCGCTGTTGAATCCAGACCGATACTGTTGCATTCTGTCACCATCGAACCCTTGTCAGGCTTAAAGCAATCCCTCGTTGACGAAACACCGAGTTAGTAGCCACTCTCAACTGGTGAAAATGGTAGACCTCGGCGGCTCGGCCACGGTCACGGTTATGTTTATCACCCGGCTAGGTGACCGACAACGGAACCGCAATCCACTCACCACGAGGACGCCACAACGCCGTTAGGGAATCTGTACTCGTTTGAGTTCATTGTGTCCTTGACAGCCTGGTATTCTCATGACTAGCTTGAATTTCTTGAGTTCAGCACTACTACCAAGCCTGGTGGCTGACTTGCTAGTCCCGCCTTGTGCCTTGTGCCAGGAGGTGCGAATAGGCTGGGAGCCTTGCCTTGCAATTTGAAATTATGAAGCAAAATCCTGAAGAGTTGACACCTCAATTAGAAGGGGACCTTCCATATCAATGATGCTTCACTGCCGATATTGCGCAGCCACGCTGACTGGGGGTCAGAAATTAAACTGCTTGTCAACGATGTATTCATTTTTCGCCATGCTCACTGATACCAGCATGGCACCCCAAGAGAACATGTCTACTCGCTCGCAAGAGCTTGATGCCCTCCTTGGCATCTATGTTTCGTGTGCTACGATACCTAGTATGACTCGGCCATCCACATCAGTAGTGTCTGCTACTTCGTGGAAGCCAACCTGAGGTGGCTATGTGAAGTCGATATTCTCTACTCCGTACTCAATCAATTTTGATTTCTCTTATCATTAGCTTTCGGCTGTTGGTGTTAACTCGGTACAGCATCGTTGTCTGCTGGGCCGCCTAAGCCATTTATTCACTAGGCTGTCGTTCTCCCTCCTTCTCTGTCTTGGCTTGACTGCCCAACCCCAATCGTTGTCTCAATGCGGATGCCAAGACTCGACGTCCTTGATGCCATAGATTCGGCACCCGTGGTTATTGTTTGTCTTGTCTGCTGACTCGACTGACCTCAGAGATTAATCATCAAGTTCAGAAAGCTTTCATACTACCATGCTTGTGATAATCAACATCTTGAGTCGCCATCGAGCCAGGTATCGAAGGTCCAAAATGCTTGAACCCCAAGCGCGCTAGCTGAAAGATCCTGCATCAGGACCCTATAAAATGCTCATCGGTCCAGCCCCAGCACTAGTGGAGCAAAAGCCAAAGACGACCGCCGGTGCTTTGGGTGCTTGATTACCCCCCCTGTCTCGTTATGTCTGTCTGGCCCATTTCGATTCTGGAACTCCACATGGTTGTGGCCAACGCCCCTCCCTCCAAGGCGCACAGGGTCACTGATGACGGACCATGGGCTTGGGGGCGATAGGCTCGTGTGAGTGTACGCTGTGCAATCCCAAGACTCTCCCATCAACGCTACAGGAACTGACTGTGCCTTCCGGATGGCCAACCGGGATAAGTCGATTCGCCCACATTCGCTCGCCTCCGCAATATCTTGAGACCAGCCGCACCTTGTCTGCCTCCACTCTTCCTCTTATCTTGACCTGCTGCTTTCTCATTTACTCTGCTGTCTTAATACTACCTTCAGGTCTCTTCCCTACCTGGCCGCGGCCTGCTGGTTCATCCTTCGACCAACTGCGAACAATCCACCAATGCATCTTGGACCTGCATCACCCACGGTATTGCGCATTTACTTTGCCTCTGGATTGGCCTCTCCACGATTGCATATTTAAATAATAACTACAAGCTTGATCGACACTTGTTCAAAAGGCTTCGCTCCTGTTTTTTACCGACTATCACGATTATAGTCGATTTATCAAGCTGATACTGATTTCCACGAAGCGACGAGTCTACGATTTTCATGCATTCTTCTCCCGTTGAAACGATAATACTACCACTCGAGTGCCACCGCTGGCGGCCTTATGTTGAGGTAAATCACCAAAACACTTCAAGGTCGACTCCTGGCACCCTACCACGACATATTCGACCACCCACCACGACCATATCAATACCCCCGGCCAAGCTCTAACCTTCGTCGTTTAATCACTACCTCGCTCGTCGAGCCCTCTGCGGAGGACGACGGGCGCGGACAGGGGACGCAATCATGGCTCTCTATTCAGAACCTCCAACTCTTCGCGAATTCAAATTCGATAAACCGACCCTCCTTGTTTGCTGGTGGGCTACATCATTCTGTACCCTCATCATCCTTCTACGGCTTGCAGGCCGCTTTATCCGCACCGAGCGGCTATTCACTGAAGATCGTGTTGCGGCCCTAGCTTTGATCCCTCTGTATGCCCGCATGGCATGCGTTCATTTTATTCTCATATATGGAACCAACAATGCTCAATTCGATGGTGTTGAGCTTACTAACCTTCAATTACGTCAAAAAGCCATTGGTAGCGGCCTCGTGCTCGCCAGTCGAATTTTCTACGCTGCAACGTATGTACCTCTCTCAACTAAATGTTACTCACAGTCCGCATTCTTCAAAACGCAATGCAAATGTGGAACTTAAAGCTGACGGGCCATAGCCTTTGGGTACTTAAGTTTGCAGTTCTCGAGTTCCTTCACCGATTGACTCGAGCGACGTGGGAACGATCATGGCAGACGTCTTTATATGTCATTCGAATAATCCTCGTTGCTACTTTCATCGCCGTTGTCATTAGTGATTTTGTGGAATGCCGCCCCTACAGTCACTATTGGCAGGTTGTGCCCAATCCTGGTGGCCAATGCCGTCAAGGATACGTACAGCTTCTCACGATGGCAGTCTGCAACGTGGTCACTGACTTGTTGCTTGTCATTTTCCCAATTCCGATCATTGTGACAAGCGGAATGACAATCAAGAGGAAGATACAGCTTGTGCTTCTCTTTTCCCTCAGCCTATCTGTTGTTGGGGTCACCCTTTATCGGGTACCCCATATCATTGATGATCACGGTCGTCAGCAGTATCGATCGCTTTTGGCGTCGGTTGAGCTTCTTTTTGCCACGGCTGCGGCAAACTCACTCGTGTTGGGATCTTTCGTGCGTGATCGCGGCCTGAAGAAGCAAAAGTTCCGTCGTTCATCGGTGGCCGAGTCCCTCGATCCCTCACTCAACCTTCGCCGCCCGACTTTACACCGACACTGGGGAAGCGATGAAGACCTTGTACGGGACGTTGGTATGACCGTTGATCCAGAACTTCAGGATCAGCCTGATAACTCGAGCGAGAACGGTGCCCTGCAATACACCCCGGCCCCTCTTCTTCGCAAACTGGATCAAGACCTCGAGCGCTGGCAATTTCCTCAGAGACAACGCAGCAATGCAGAGCACAGCGACGATTCTCTGATACAACACGACCCACTCTCTCAGTCGAAAAGTGAGAACGGAATAGCACCAAGGAGGGTTTCTTTCTTCGACGTTGGTGGCCTACTTGATGTGCCACCCGAGAGTTTTGGGAGCCTTCGAGCAAACAGTCGTGCGTCATCTAAGGAAGACTCTACACTGTCGCATTCGCCCCCGGCACCTTCATTACCAGCAGGATCCGGAGGCTTTCGCCGTGGTTCGACTGCTTTGCTCCAAGACCTCGGTGGCCTCTTTGGACCTATGAATTCAAGGTCAAGTCGGTCCAGGTCCAAATCCCGAGGAACAGAGTTGCAGCCGATACCGCAATCCCGACAGGAGTCGCGATACGATTTGCAAGGACCGCCCGTGGCGGAACTGAGGGATCCTGGTGGCCTTCTAAACTAGTGGCAATCAACTTTCGTATCACCTGCCATCACCTTTGACGACATCTTCACATTTTCACATGCGACTACCTCACGACAACAGCGACTTTTATGGGATTTATTTGGCCTGGCTTGGAATATTTATATACGGCCTGGGGCGTTTTATGCTACAGGCTCTGAATGTATTTTTGGTTGGTAGGACAGGAGTAATGCGCACGCAGGGATCTTTTACTTGGGTATATGCGAAGTCTCAATACGAGGCAGGATTTGGAAATCAGGTATTCGCGCAACTATCGCGGGTTGCATTATGATATGCTTGGGATTTTTTATGGTTGTGTCAGGATGACATGGTTATTGGTTATATATACCCGGCAAACGCCAAGTTAACGTTTAATGGCATTGACATGATTTGTTCAATATCTGAGAATATCCTAAATGTTCGGACAACACGATCACCTATTTGAGACACTGCGCTGGCAAGGTTACAGGATAATGTAAAGCTCTGGTGGCATCCGTCACTTTAGAAGAACAAGTCTAGAATTAAGGTATTTACAAGCCTCGCATCTACCTACACAGAGCAAAGGGCAAAGAGTAACTCTCGTAAATGCTTAATATTCCTTCGTTGGCTTTGCTGCGGCAACGCGCAATATACATAGAACCCCTGAAACGCCAGCTTTTTAGAATTTCAAGTGCAGTGTGACGCCTCCGTCCTCGTACCAAGAGCCTTCCCATCCCTTTCCATCCAACAGCTCTCATCTTCGACTCGACCTCTCAAGACGGCCCGTCCATAATTGTTCATCTATACACACAATCTATAACTGGCATAACGACCAGCAGTTTCACTGTTTCGGATAATCTTGACGACTTGGCCCCGCTTCAAACCCAAGTAACGAGCAACAGGGTCCTTTTGTAAAATACGTGGTAGTTGGGTCTCCTTGAGACGATAGCGCTTGAGAAGAGCGAGCTTCTCCTCGCGAGAAAGCAAGACGTGCTTGGGAACAAGCTCGTGGTGGGTAATGTTGACAAGAAGATCATCCTCGAGGAAGCACTCGATCTTAGCGACGGACTCGACACTCTGGAGAGTCTTGCGGGCGGCGGGTGAGAGAGGAACGTGTGTCACCATGATGCCAGTCTTGTAGTTGTTCGTGATCACATATTTGGCAAATTGTCGGATCTGGTTGACGCCGAAGGTCTTATCGGCGAGGAACTCAACCCAGACAGGACCACAGTCGGCGCCGGGGTTGGGGTTGGGGTTGGCTGCTGTCACGGGAGGTGTGTTTTTGCGGATCATGTTCTCGCTGGGACGCGCTGAGAATTGAAGCTTGGCGCGGCTGTAGTCGAAATGTTAGTTCCATGGTTTCTTTGTGATGTCGCAAGCATAGCCGGTCTTACTTGATGGAGCCGTCGGGGTTGCAGTATTCGTCGCGGAAGCGGTCGAGAGAGATCTTGACTTCCTCTTCAGCGAGCTCGTATTCCTTTGAAATGTCAGTCGTGTGCTTATTACAGAAAAGTTACACAGTTGGAAATGCTGCGCGCTTCTCTGAAGTCTACGATAGGACTGTTAGGACAAACGTACTCGGTCCGCGACCATCTCATGGATGGTCCTCCATGCTCGCCAAAGACGAACAACCTCCTTGGACCTGGCGTCGGTGGGAACGTGATCAATATCCATGGTAGTGAGTGTGAGGTGCGATTCGAGATGTGGTGTTGGTGGTCGAAATAACAAAGGCAGAAAGAAAAGGTCGAAATCGCGAGCGTCGTCAAAAATGTTTCGTTCAGCCTTGCATCGTCGCCGCAAAAGTCCAAACTTCTTTGAGCGGGTCAGAGGACTGAAAGGGTCATGTGATTCTGATAGACGCCACGCACCGCCACTTATACCTGCATCAGCCACAGCGAGAGGACAAGTCTGATCATGGAAGGTGGGGCGGGAACGAACCCCTGGACCTGGGACGCGCCAGTGAAGCTCAGTGGTCTTTCCAGCGAACGCTAGGGGAAGGACCCGAGTCCCAAGGGAGGGGCATCCCTACTGTAGAAGGAGCAAAAAGAGAGCCCAGAGAGTAGGTTGCCTGTAATACTGAGCGAGACAATGGAAAGAGAGACAGCTCAGGGGCGCACGGGCCTGCCCCGAGAATTCACAGCAAGAGACACGGGTCCAGAACTTTACCTCAGAAGCAGAAGGTGATAGAATTCCACTGACCGAGACTGCATTTGCACTGCAGCGCACCAAACTTACCTATACCTTACCTTAGCTTTATTCTGGGGTCGTCTTTTTTTCCCTCCTTTTCGACAACACGTGTCGAACTCTGCTCAATTTAAGCCTCGCACTTTCACTTATCCTCGAGCAACTTCGCTCCTGGTTTCTTGTCTTCCACTTGATTCATCTTGGTTCTCGTCTTTGTATTCTCCTCTCATCGCAATGGCCGAAACCGCAACCTCTCCCGCTCCTGCGGCGGACAAGGCCGACAAGCAAGCTAATGTTCGACCTGCCAAGCCCGATGAGAATCTCTTTAAGCAGGAACTCGCAAAGGCTGAGAAGGAGCATAAGGCTTCAATGGACCGTCTGGTAAGATCTCGCTCAATCCCCCTCCATTTGAAAATGTGGCTTGGGTCGACCCAGATTCCACATCCGTGGCCTCATGAGCTGGAACTATTTGAGCCAACATCAACTAACAATTATACTCTTCTAGGCCGCTGTCAAGGCTAAGATCGAGATTGCTATGCCCAACAAGAACAAGGACCAGCCTAACCCTACTCAAAAGCGACGACAAGAGCTCATTGCTCAGGCCAACGAGATTCGACAGAAGCAGGCCGGCGGAAAGAACGCCCGTTCTACTAAGCTCGACCAGATCAAGCGTCTCGATGAGCAAGTTCGAAGCCGAATCAACGAGCAAAAGGCTGCGAAGAGCAAGGTTCCCTTCAAGAGCCTCGAGGACCTCGACCGCCAGATTGCGAGTCTGGACAAGCAGGTCAACTCCGGTACCATGAAGCTGGTAGACGAAAAGAAGGCCTTGTCAGACATCTCCAGTCTCCGCAAGATGCGCAAGAACTTCGGACAGCTTGACGATTCCCAGAAGCAGATCGATGACCTCCGCGCCAAGATCAAGGAGATCAAGGATAGCATGGACGACCCTGAGCAAAAGGCTCTCTCCGACCAGTATAACAAGATTCAGGCCGAGATCGATGCTATCAAGGCCGAGCAGGACGAAGCTTACAAGGGTCTTTCCAGTCTCCGTGATGAGCGCTCCAAGCTCCAGGCCGAACAGCAGGAAAAGTACACCGCTATCCGTAAGCTCAAGGATGACTATTACGGACAGAAGAAGGCATATCAGGCCTACGACCGTGAAGCTCGGGAGCGCTACCGTGAGAAGCAAAGGGCTGAGCAGGAGCGCTACCACCAAGAGCGAAAGAAGGCTGAGGCTGAGCGTCGTCTGGGTGATGCCAGCGATCCTGCCTACCTAGACGAGATCCGCCGCGCCAACAGCCTGCTCCAATTCCTCGATCCTAACCACAAGGTTGAAAAGGGCCCTCTGATGGCCGATACAGGTCTGGGTGCTCAGGCCCAACGAAGCGTTGACGAGTCTGGTCTCAAGGGCACCAAACTCCTTCGCAAGGAGGACCGTGATGAGGAGTACGCGCCTGCGGTGAAGAAGGGTAAGAAGGGCAAGAAGACTGCTCACGGCGGCTCATCAAACAAGTTCAACGTTCCCCCAGCTGTGGTTGAGGACTGTGCCGCCATGGGTATCGACCCTCCCATGAGTGCTGCCGATATCCCTGCTGTAGCTGAGAAGGTCCGTGCCAAGCTCGATTTCTGGAAGAACGACCAGGCGGCCCAGACACAGCGTGTAAGTCACCAATCTCATAAAGCGCCTGTGAAGAGACGATGCTAATTACTATCTCAGAACATTGAGAAGGCTAAGAAGGAGATCGCCGAACTCGAGGCCGCCGAGGCTAATGGCGACAAGGTCGAGCAGACCACTGCTGACCTGAAGGAGACTTCTATTGCTGACAAGCAGGAGTCGTAAACTTCCTTCTTATCGCAATATCGATTGCTCGTCGGTAATATCCCATACCGTCGATGCTCCTTGGGCTTACAACTTCCTCCTGCGCACTCCCTACCTCGCCCCAGTTGATCTTATTGTCCTCGTCCTTTCCGAAATCTGTTGGATCCCTCCGGCGCCCGCTCGGCATACTGAATCAAACGTTGAGCTTATATCAAACGTTATTCAAAGTTGTCTTGCCCACCAACTTTATTGCCTGAGTTACTTCCTGCTTCATACATCCCTTCTCCCCCTCTTTCAACGCCACATGCTCGAATCTAAAAAGCGCTTTGTTGTGCTGTTTTTGTAATTAGGCGCAGTTTCTTATTAAAGTCATGCGCAAGGAAAATGACAAAAAGTTGGTTCAATCTCGTGATGCATTGCATCTTTTCTTATTTAGAGTTGCGTGACATGAGACTCGGTTATCGGGTTCCCTGTAGATCTAAACCCTTGGTAGGGTCGGGTCAATTGCTTATTGCCGCTAATTGACAGATTTGCTCAGACATGATGAGCTCATGTAAACCTGCATCGAAGTTTTAGTTGGGCTGAGCCTGGGGTCGGGCATATATTGCTGTGCCTCTTTAGGTCTACACTTTTCTGCTTTTTTTCCCTGTTGCGTGCATGCGTGCATGCGTGTATGCAGTCGGCCAAGACCTGGTCATGTAACGATGTATGCACAGTAGAGTGTCGTCTTACTGCAGCAGATGATGTGTTGAAAACGCCGACATGAGCTTGCATAACCTAGCTCACACCCCTCGACCTATCGCCCTGACCTTGACTGCCTCGGATACGTGCCCCTCTTTCGCACCATCTCCCACACGTCCAACCAAGATATGGCTTTGTTCGCCGTGATGCATATCAAAAAGGCAAAGGAAGTTGTGGTGTCGTTGATAATTTTGCCTTCAGTGGCGTGGTATTTGTAATTTCAGATACAGAACAAAATCGCCAAGCTTTGTTAACCCCAGTTACTCCAATGAAAATATGCCAGACGGAAAAGCTTCTACTCAAACACAAATGGCATTGTCAGCCCAAACTTCAAAACCCCCAGTAATGGTGCCACCGTGGTCTGCTAGGCCGGTAATACTCCATGCCCTAGTTATGCAATGGTCGTGATGTTCGTAGAAATCGTAATATGGATTTTTTGTAGCATACTCAGCACCCGGATAGATGCTCACAATTAACGTATTGGCCATTTGTAGTCGCTTAATATGGAGGAGGGAAATTATAGGCACCCGGCATTGGCGGCGGGATAGCCCCAAAGTTAGGCCGCCTCATTTGAGGGCCGGGAGTTCGGCGATCGGGTCTGGGCATGGGAGGCTCCTGTGGATGCATCTGGCCTGGATCACCACGATATCCTGGAGGTGCTACTACAGCAGAGGCACCGGGAGGGGCAGTACCGCTTCGCCGATTCACTTTTCGCGAGTTTGATAACGAGCCCAATGGCGGATCCTTTACAGCCGGCTCATCCTCCGCCGGTAATGTGAGTTCAACAAGTCCAAAGAAATATTCCAAAACTTCAGGATACCGCTGTACGCTCGCTTGCCAGTCTTCGTCAATGCCGCGTTTGAGGGACGCTTGCGCTTCAGCAACTTGTGTCGGATGAGGCGGTGCATGGTAGTAGTGATATGCGTGGGCAGTAATTCGGTCCATATGCGCAGCATGGGCAGTTTTTCGTTGATCAGTTAGGAGGCGGAAGTATTCAAGTATGTAGTCTTGTGCATGTCCTCGGACCCAGGAACTATGAATTGATAGTCAGAACTGCTTCGTGACGTGAGGGAAGGGCAAAGTTATGTACCGTATTTCATTGTATATCGACCGCATCATGCGATCCTCGGCTTGTTTGACAGCAACGTCAAGGCCCTTAGCCTCACACTCGCACGCCATATTGGCCGGAGCGTGGCATATCGCGCAATCAGGATCCATCCTGAAAATAGACTTGCCACTGTAGGGATAACTTCTGGGAAACATCTTAGCTGTGATATCAGGCGAATTGATTTACACCGAATTAGAGTGGGTGAGCGTAGTGCAAGAGATGGCCAGAAAAACAATATTCATCTACGGTCAACTCATAACAACAACGTGAGATCCCCCTCCAACCCCGCAGATGTCTTTCATAGGGTTGTATGTGCGGGAGAGAAGACCAGCAACAGTGAGATTGAAGAATGAGAAGACAAGAAATGGGGAAAGAGGTAGGAGGTAGGGATAAGGATGACAGAGAGAAGTTAAAACGGACCTAGCTAAAAGGCACGAGCCGTGTTAAAGTCGATTGACGGCGTGGCGGTAAGGAGATAACGACACTGGGTTGCAAAATGGTCTGGTTTGCCCGTCGAGAACCAGCTTGGGAAGACGAGCTGCTGTTTCGCTGGAGCCGTATGTATGCTGCACTGCAAGCACCAGCAGCTCTCGGGGCTCAAGCTGGAAATGGAGGGAGAAACTGAAGAGCGAGGTGGAAGAAGTCGCGTGGGGAAGCGAAGGAAGCTATGTGGAGAGATCGAATGAGAGCAGGCCGACCACGTCTACAGTCGTGGCTCGAATGCGGGACCACGGATCGTATGCAGGCTGGCCCAATGGCTTCGAACTGCTACAAGGGAGGGGTCGATGGCGGCGAACTGTCGTTGGGTGATTGTGCGGCTCATGTGCTTTCTGCTAGGAAGGGTGGTGTTGACAAGCAGTAGATAGTACACCAGATGGAGGGGTGAGTGGGACTCAACGAAGAGTCAAGACGAGAGTTGACCGAGAAAAATTATGCGAGGCTTGACGTGAGATATTGTATTGCAGAAGAGACTGGAGCTGGATCGACTGGCGAAGTTCAAAGAATGCAAGAGAGCCAGGTGTGACAAATGGGGTCATCGGTTGGGTTGACGGTGATAAGCCAGTGAGCATCTATCAAGAGTCGACGAATGAAGGCAAGGCCAGTCGTTTAGAACCCCAGTAGTAAGGAAGACGGCGAGGGAACACTGAAAGGCTGACCACGGACACACAAGAGGCTCTGCTGGCTTTATCCATTGCTGCAACACCGATTCACCGCATTTTGGCGTCAGCTGGCGTTTGTTGTTAAGCTCGGGAAGCTGGGGCTAGCCCAATGCTGGTCAAATAGTAATGGACGCCAGCAACGAGCCATTCTAGGTGAGCTGCAGGATCCCGTCGGGGCGAGGCGAGACGAACAGACAGGGGAGCATCGTCGATAGAGAGTCGAATATAGTTCAAAACGTTGCTTTTTTATCGGTAATCTTAGGTGTGAAAATTAGAAATTAGGTGGTATATTGGAAATCGCATGCCCGCACTGGTACAGCGCGTTGGTGGGCGTTTCCTTTATTGAGCGCCGGGAGTGAGGTCCGTGAGTGTGATACGGAGATGGCCTAGTGGCAACTTGCTGCGATATGTCGGAGGCGAGATATTGATATGGCACGAGATTGAAGGTATCACGAAGTGAGTATCAGAAAGGAGAAATCAGATGAGGAGAGAGAGAGAGGCTTTGAAACTCTTAGCACCGCCTTCTTTCGTTAGTCCTAGCTGAGACCTGAGGCATGAATCCAAGACGGCGGTTGCCTTGTCGGTTGGTGGTAGGTTGCTCTGCACTGAAGTCCTCTTTCCCTTTTAGGACTTATACGAAAACCACTTTATGATGAGATCCAAAGCTGGCTGAGATCAAAGTACCTGGGAGAAATCAGTGCCTGGAAGTATACCTACTAACATAATTGTGCAGAAACTCTAGCCTTGCCTACTAAGTCAATTCTAGAAATTGTACTTGTATTTTCCCATCCATCATCTGCTCTGTCATGTTTAAATCAAAAACTCATGGAGGGACCTTATCTAATCAGCAACCCCAAAATTTCGACTAAGCTCAAGGCAAGATGTGATCAAAAGATATTCAACATAACAGCTTCAATTCTACACCAGAATTGTCGCACAATTCTTTAATTATGGCTCCGCGGTGCCCGGCTATGTCTTCGACCCTCCTAACATTCCTCTACCCTTCGATATTCCTGTCAAGACACACTCTCGCCAGCACAGCAACTCTCCGACGTCGCTTCAACTCCACCATAAACGACCTCCCACAGTCCCGACTAAACCCTGCTCCGGATGACTATGCGTCTCCCAGTTTCTCGGACAAAGCCTTTTTAACTCTCTATGCTGGTAGAGGTGGAAACGGCTGTATTTCTTTTTTGCGGGAAGCATACCTTGCTGAGGGCCCCCCCAATGGTGGCGATGGTGGTCACGGGGGCAATGTCTACATTCAAGCAGCGCATGGCGAAACCTCACTGCACAAGTTGGCGCGCAAGCGATTCGTTCGAGCCGGCCGAGGTAAGCATGGACAGGGAAGCGCAAAGGGTGGCACACGAGGAGAGGATATCATTATAACTGTGCCTGTGGGAACAGTAGTCCGTGAAATAGAGCGTGAGGATCCGGTGCTTGATGAAGAGATTGATATGCGCTTGTGGCACGCTCAGCAGAAACAAAAGAGAAAAGAGGAACGTAGGGCCGCTCTGGAGCGAAAGCAGAGGCAAGAAGAGAACGAAGAGGGTTACGAAGAAGAGGAGGAGGAGGAACAGGTCGAAGAGGAGAATGAGGACGGCGATCAGGATCCTGAGCGTCGCAAGTGGCTTTTATATCCCGGACTGTCTAAGACTGACATCAAACAAACCGTCTTTCCTCGATTGCCTAAACGAACTCGACTTCTGAAACAACCGCCTCCCACCATCCATCTTGACTTATCTCGCCCTACCCCAAAGCCAATCCTTCTTGCAACTGGAGGTATCGGTGGCTTGGGAAACCCCCACTTCACATCTAGGGCGCATCCTCGGCCCATGTTTGCTACTAAAGGCGAAGAGGCTGTTACCATGAAGATTGAGCTTGAGCTCAAGCTCCTTGCTGACGTAGGCCTCGTCGGCCTTCCCAATGCTGGAAAAAGTACCCTCCTGCGTGCCATCACAAACAGCCGTACCAGAGTGGGCAACTGGGCCTTTACGACGCTGCAGCCCAATATCGGCACGGTTGTTCTTGATAAGTATTCTGGTCGGCCGGTAATCAAGAGTTTTCGCCGATATCCTGCTCAACTGGGTCTGCCCGAAGCAGTCGACACTGAACCACGCACCCGATTTACGATTGCTGATATCCCCGGTTTGATTGAAGGTGCGCATCTTGACCGTGGTCTAGGCATTGCTTTTCTGCGCCATGTCGAACGCGCTGGTGTACTCGCTTTCGTCATTGATCTGTCTGCTGGTAATGCAGTCAAGGCTTTGGAATCACTGTGGCGTGAGGTTGGATTATACGCACAATTGCGTGATGAAGAAGAGGCCGATCGCGCAATCGAGTCACACATTGACTGGGATGTCACGTCGGATATGGACGGTCCTATGAATCTGTCCCCAGGTATGGCAAATGATGAAGAATATTTCAGTTCAAAGCCAGGACTACAAATTGCTGGAAAGCCGTGGTTTGTCGTTGCGACCAAGGCTGACTTGCCAGAGACACAAGAAAACTTCAAGGAATTAAAACAATACCTCGATAGTGTCACAAAAGGCGAAAAGCCGCATCCAAGCGGAGTAGCGGATGCTTGGATAAAAGACTGTGCTGTTATTCCGGTGAGCGCAATTAATGGCCAGGGCGTAGATAGAATTGTACACTGGACTGTGGGATTACTGGACGAGTAGACAAGGTTTGGAGACACCTTGTATTATACCATTTTGTATCAACATTTCATCCCCGACCATGATTCAAACTATGGTAACACCAAAACAATATAAAGCAATTGTACATTGACCCATTTTTAAGCTGTTTCCATCTTCTCCTCCTCAGCCTCTACTGGCTCCGTGGCTGGCTCCTCGGGCGAGGGAAGATCCGCGACATCCACTTCCTCCTTGGTATCATCACCAGCCTCGGCCTCCTTAGCTTCTTGAACAGCCTTCTGGTTCTTCTGCGCAGCTATGTTGATGAGCGGGGATGTATCATTAAAGATGCGTAGTAGCATAGCAGATCGATCCTCCTTAGGAAGCATAAGGTTGAGGGAGTGGATGCTCTTCCAGAGAGGGAGAGCCATGCGCTCTCTAAAGTCGGGGTCTGTACCGTCAGGCTCAACGCGGAGAACAGCACAACCCATGCCGATATCTCGGACACGCTCGCCGATCTCGTCGAAGCGCTCGTACTTGCCATCGTTGATGCGAGGGAACATCTCGATGAGAAGCTTGCGGAAGGTCTCCTTGTTGTGGAGGTGCACAACGCGGGGCTCACCGACGTAACCCTGGAGGATGGGCATACCCTCAGCCTGGATACGCCATCTGCAGACATCAGCGGAGGGAGCGTCCTGCTTCATGTACATGCGGACACCACCATGGATGAATTTGATGCCACGGCCCTCGTTCTCGATAAGGATATCGCGGAGGAGTGCGCTGGTGTAATAGATGGCCTTAGCAGGCTCGCCCATCTCGTTTCGGACCATGTACCGATCGTCGGGGAAGCGCTTAGAGATATGATAAAACTCCTTGATGTTCTGGACGGTGGGGTGTGAAACGTCCAGGTACTTGAAAGCCTCCTCGACAGGACCGTTTCGGCGAGGCTTGCTGCCCTCCTGTGCCACTTGGGCAACAGGAGTAACGGCAGCTGAGGGCTCAGTAGACTCAGTCTTGGCCTTTTTAGCGGGCTGATCTTGAGCATCCTCAGTCTCGAGAGGTCGCTTGCTACCGTTAGTAGACGCATCGGCCATAGCAACATCCTCCTGCTTGTCTTCGGCCTTGGCAGGTGTAGCTTCAGCTTCAGCAGGAGCCGTCTCAGATTCAGTCTTCACTTCGGTCTCCTCCTTGCCAGGTGCCTCGTCAGCAACCTTCTCAGCAGGAGTGGCCTCGGCGGATTCTTCAGTCTTGGCGGGCTTGGTCTCCTTCGACTCGTTCTCATTCTTAGCCTTGAACTCGGACTTCTTCTCCAAGACAGTGATGAAGAAACCACCAGTGTCTTGCATGTGAGGATAGACTCTCATGCAGCGCTCAAGAGGCAGGTCAGCGCATTCAGCGCCCTCGAGTCTGGGGAACATGGTCTCAACGACTCGTCCAGGGATAACACCGTCGGCGCTCTCCTTGGCAAAGTCCTCAACCTCTTTCCAAGAGCTCCAGATACGGGCACTCTTATCCATGATCTTCCAGTCCTTCATTCCGGGGTATCGCTTCAGGTTGGGCAGCTCATTGCTGCAGTCGACAATCTCAACATTCGCAGGGCCGCCACATCGCTCAATGGCTGAGACAACCACGGACTCGTTCTCAACAGGGTTCATACTGCAGGTAGAGAAAACGACACGACCACCAACCTTGAGAAGCTGGAGAGCGCGGACGAGAATTCGAATCTGAGTGAGGTGCAGGCCAAGAGCGCTTCCAGGTTGCCAGTCCTTCCAGATGTTGGCATTCTTTCGTAGAGTTCCGTCACCGGAGCAAGGGACATCAGCCAGAATGCGGTCGAACTTGAGGTAGGTTGGCTTCTTGCCGTCCTTAGCAGGGAGCCTGATCGAAGGGAATTGGGTAGCATCGTGGTTCGTGACGAGAAGGTTAGGGGAAGAAAGTCGCTTGAGCTGATGGACAAGCATGTGTCCGCGCTTGTAATCGGAGTCGTTGGCGACAAGCATTCCAGTAGCCCGTCCAGCGTCGCTGGGGTCGGCTTCGAGGTCGGCCTCAATCTCGTCTGTAGTCTCGGCACCAAGATCCAGGCCATCTTCCTGGGCATAAGATCGGAGAACCTTGCGCACACGTGCCTCCTCGCCTTGGTGAATCATCTCGAGCAGTTGCGCCGCCTTGCTTCCAGGAGCAGCACACATGTCAAGGACGGTCATGCCAGGGCGGAGATCCATCAGCATAGGGGGGATCATGCTGACGACTTCCTGTCGGCTGATGTTTCCAACACTCGTCTCGGATACGAGGAATTTCTGGAATGCGGCGAAGGGAGGGAACTTGCGAACGACATTCTTGGGGGTAGTCATCCACCAAGCAAGCTCATCGGGGTACCAGGGCACAGGCTGGGGAGGTTCAACAGGTCGGCCATCCTGATGCTCGATCTTGACGATCTCGGGGATATATCTGGTCTGGAGAAGGCTCTTGACAAGAAGGGCGTGACTGAAAGCACGTCGAGGTTAGCAAACAGATTTCGCGTTACGCGAGCGATTGCGACAGAACATACCCTTTAGAGCCGCAGAACCTGAAGCTGTTAGGGAGCTCACGTCTGAGAGCCTCCCAGTAGGCATTCTTCTCCTCTTCAGGCAGCTGAAGGAGGGTGTCATAGAAGCGCTGGAGCTTCTCGTTCTCCTTGGGAATGGCAGGATAATCTCTCCAGCCACCTCTATCCTGGTTACCACCACCTCGGCCGCCACCGCCTCCTCTTCTGTTCTTTCCCTGTAGTAGTGTCAGTATAGGTCGCAATTGGGGTGTTGCGTCAAGTGCATGCGCACCCTAAAGCTCTTTTTGCCCATTGTCGCAAATGTCTTGAAGTGGTTGAATCGAGAGAACATTCAATGCGACAAAAAATTTGGACTAAAAAAAAGGCCCCGCCACTTTTTAGCATGTGCGACGCTAAAAGTATGCAAGGTTTATAGTGGGTTTATGATAACTAGCTTCACTACTAGGTAGGAAAAGTGAGAACAATAGAAATGCCAAGTTTATATTTTGAACGGAAAAGTATCATATGAACTGAGGAAAGACCTGAGGGTACGAGGAATAACATTTTGTAATGTCTGTTCATGATAGTCATTACATTATAGAACGAAGGGGTGAAGATTATTAACAACTATCTCACTTTCATCTCATAAGATCCCGTGCCTATCAACATTGTGACTGAAGACCATGATGACAGAGCCTCAATGACTGTTTTGAAATTGTTTGGTCTATCCACATTCACTTAGCCAAACGCAGTTAATAAGTACGAGTAATAGGTGCTACAATGGATCCAGCGGAGATGTAGTGAGTAAACTATTTGATATGAATGTTTGTTAAACCCAGCTCCATGGTTGGTTACAAGCCGAAATCGGCACTCATGCTGACCCGACCCTGGCGTTCTTTACAGCTGAACAATAATTGTCAATTGTGACTCCGACAACCACTTAGATCAACGTTTCGGCTGCAGAGGTATCTTCTTTTTGCATTTCAAAGTTATTAAATGGCTTGGGCCTCTTAATTTCATCCTCTACTCCAATCTGCCACCACTGTACTCCGTATGCAGAATCAAATGCCGTCACCACAACCTGCTAAGCCGATGACACGAGACTACGCATTCAGTCCCGGCTACCTCGGTTTTACAAGCTACAACTCGGTCTTCCAAGGAGCTCGAGAGAGTTTATGTCTTTCTGAAACAGGCTCTGAATTTCTCAGCCCAGAGGTATCAAGCCCTGAAAGTGATGATGTTCGTTTACGCAGCTTGCCTTTGCCAACACAGCAAATGTGCCTTGTCGTACTACAGTATCTTCCGGGACGACCAGAAGCACATATGATATTCCACGATGAACCTGGTCCTGAAAACACCACAACTTGGTCTCACACGGCTGTATCAAGAATCATTAAGTCTCTGCGGCTGCTTTTTCAAAGCTTTGAGGGCAGTGAATGCTTCGATGAGCAGGTTGCTGATGTGCTGTGCCGCAATACTTCGAAGCCTGTTAACGATACCTTTGATAGGTTTGATGACTGGATAGCCCAGTTCTGTGGGCCAAACATCCGATGGGAATCGATAGGACTTCTGTGGGCTCATCTCGAAGGCCTTTCAGATGCAATATCAACCCTAACACATCGTCAGCTTCAATGGGTTGAAGGCAAGCGATCATCTATTCTCTCGCACGATCACATACACTACTGCATTGAGATAGCGCGCCGTTTCACAGCTGGTAACAATATGCTCCTTGATCTCTGTCGACGACATGCAGCTCTTGGAACAATGGTTTATGGCGATGCTAGTAAGTTCGCTATCAAGTATCAAGTCTGGTATCATACACTAACTCTCTAGGCCCTGTATACTGGAACTCACACAGTCTATGTGTCTCTATTCTTCTTTATATTGGATTACATGCTTCGGGAGAGGCATCGAGGCCACAAGCACAGCCCCAAAAGCCTTCGTTTTGTGTCGAACATAAGCGTCTACTCTACAGCTACATCTTTGCAAATGATAAATCCGAGGTCTCCTTTACTGGTAGACCCCCACTTCTGAGCCGTCGCTATTGCTCATCAGTGCCGCCCTTAGACCTGCCAGATAGTTGTATGGTATCTGAGGACACGCTGCTAGAGGAGTTCAAGGCTCTGGATGACAGGGGCTGGAACACGAAGGGTGAGATTTCCAGCAACAGTTACATACGGGCTCGCTACTTGATGGCTTATGTCTTTGACGAGGTGATAGAAGTGGCACTTGGCAACGATACCCATGCCACGCTCGAATATCTTCAGTAAGTTGTCGCGGTAATTTTCGACATACACTAATAAGATGAAGAAATATCAAAGTCCGCGTGATGCAAACATTTCTCGAAATGCCTTCGCACTTGATTTTCAAGTTTGAAGATCTAGATGATCCGCATCTTGACATAAATGTACTTTATCTGAGAATATTGCTTCATCTCGCTCATCGAAAAGATGTCTTTGTGGTCGAGAGATTGCTTCTTACGCATGGCGGTATTGATGATGGTTCTTTACTTGCAACTAGTTTTGATTTAGTCAAGGTTACGATCATGCTCTGGGTGCATAAAAATCGATTTGCGCCTATGCGGCGGAACTTTGAATGGCTTGTAAGTATCATCATCCAAAAGTATAGTAGTTTTTCATTCTGATTTTATGAATAGCTGGTAGCCTACGGAGCACTAGGAGGAGGCATTCTCTGTCAAGAGCTACTTCGACCAACCTTCTTCGGGCCTCATCCCTTGAATCCTGCTCTTTCACGGTCCAACATCGTACAACAACTGAGCTTGCTCGTTGCTTTCCTGAACTGGGTCGGTCCCAGCTCGCCAAACAGAGTTGTTTGCGGAGACTGCAAAGCAATCATTCAGCGTGTGCTTGATGAGTATTTGAACTCGGAACCGACTGGCAATACAGACCTGGTACCCTTAGCTATAGGGGTTCCTCCGTCTTTAACATTCGGGTTCGAGTTGCTCAATACATTTGAGTGGCTCCAGAACGGCATTTAGAGAGTGTGCAGGTAGTGTCGGAAAGTTGATCAAGGAGTACTAAAGAGTTTGTATATAGGTAAGTAGGTAGTCAAATCATGTCACGTCAGGAGAGATAAGATGCAGCCAATAAAAACCCATTATAGAAAGCATGTTCCTCGTGGCCACTTTGATTATCCCCCAACTACGGTATTCCTCGTGTCAAGGCTAAAAGCCATGATCCTCCCAAATACCTATGTATAGGGGGGCCGCTTCAGTGCACACCTCAAAGGTGGCAGACCTCAACCCTAAAAAACAAAAAGACTTAGGTAAGTTAGGATAATTTGAGCCTGAATTTAGTCGAATTTAGGATACCTTTTGCTGAGTTTATTTTAATACATTATATTAAGCTCTGGTGCTTTCTTGCTTCTGAAGGCAGGCAAACTGGATGTCCTTGAGAGGGTGGTGTTTTTTTGTTGTTGTTTTTTAGCGGCGGCAGCAGCATCGGCAGCGAGAGGAGTGTAGGCCGGAGGGCCTGTGGGACGAAGACAAGCCCACCCGGGCAGCATCCGCCGTAGCGGCTGCTGTCGCCTCCGCGACAGCGAAGGGGGTGGAGGGCGGGTTGATTTGCTGAAGTATGCCCAGGAGCATTACACTAGATATATTTAGTTATTATTTAGTTTCTTTACCTAAGTACAAAAAGTAGACTTACGCAATGGCAACGAGGACTACGGCCACCTCCTCGGTAGTAGGGATGATACATCTATATATAGTGTTAGAGTATGAAGATTATCAGAGTATAGAAACAAGAGGAACAGAATAGTACTTACGCTTATTGACGAAGCAGGGTAAATGTGTGTATATGCTGTATCGGCGAGGTCGGGCAAATGTGTATATGTTGTATTAACGAAGCAAAAGTGAGTTTTCTGTATCGTCGAGGTAGGGTATCTATCGACGAAGCAGGGTAACCAAGGTAATGTATGTGTTTTCTGTAGGTGTCGATGAAGCAGTGTAAATGAGTGCGCGATGCTAATGTCGTGCTGTCGTTGCTCTTTCCCAATCTCCTCATGGGAGGGCATTGGGAAGGCGTTGGGATTGAGCAACGACCGCCCATAAGTAGAGTGGGAAGTAGCAATACTAGCATCACCAAAGAGGGAAAGAGCAAAGTAGCTGGCAGTTATAAATCAAGAAGTGATGCGAAATAATACTTCAAATTCCAGAGGTCTAACATTTGGTATAGATATCGAATGGATTATAAGCATTGTGATCCTCCCCACTGCGAACTGAAGGGCAATATCATCACAATAAATAAGGCATAACCATGAATTTGAATGAATCAATAGTGAAGAACAATGCCACCAAAAGGCATACTGAAGATACCGTGGGCAGGGTTGATCGTATCGTGACAGGGAATCATATGTCAGTCACGCTGTGATTTATTCCAATTTACTTCGAGATTGAATGTATACCATGTTGACGGAACTTACGTAAGGCAAGGAATTTTTTATAAGCATAAGTGCTGCCAATATCCATACCTGGTAGTGATTGCATTTAAAGTGATTGCACAAGAGAACCCAGTACACGAGATGCAGGATCCAACCATGGATGGTAAGGTCAGCTTCTGGTACATCCTGAAAGACTTTCCGTCAATAACAATACTCTTGTCGTTAACAGTCGCCTGTCTATACCACTCGAATGTAAAGTCGGTAGATGGCATACTGCCTGGGCAGCGGTGGTGCTCCAAATTCAGTTTGAGCCCATATCAACACGGAGAGTTTAGCAAAGGGAACGAGCTGCATTAATAAACTCAGAATAAAACAATATCTCCGTTGAACGGCTTTATGTAATAGTGTTTAAGAATGAAACGGTCAGTGAAGGGGGTTATTGGATCCGAAGAAAGATTGCCGATGCCGTTTTTACAACTATGATAGGTATTTTAAACGACAAGCACCCGATATGCATGCCATTTTATATACATGACTTTTTTTTTTAAGTTTGCATATCAGCCTCGAAAGGTATCCAAGCATCTCTAAAGTCTACTATAATTTAAACGTTTATTGCCTCCCAGGCAGCAAAGCTTTATTAAGTTAGCTGCCTTAATTACAGCCTGAACCTAGATGCACTTAATTCAGCTAGAGAGCCTTACTTGCTCTTCAGCTGGCCGAAATCTTCCTCCTGCAACCCACTCCAAAGGCTACTCTTGTGTTGACCCCTGCAACATTTATATACAAGACATATCTACTTACCCACGCTGCCTTTAATCTTGCTAATGTCTTGCGTTGCAACACATCATGGCCAGTACAGCTGACAGTGCACCTTTGTGGCTTGTGGAAGTGAGGGTATATATTCATATTACTCCTTGCAGGAGATGGTCTATCTGCGCTTATACATAATGTTCCATGACTAGTAACTCGCTAGCTGAAACAAATATAATGCCTCTAGGGCTGGAATCATAAGACAAAGTTGATTGTCAGGAGGTTCTCCTACATCATCAGGCCGCCAAAGAGGGCAGCAATGGCGCCGCTCATAAGACCCCACTGGATCTGTCCTCGAGCCTCGATACCGGCGTTGCCGCTCTCTGTTGCTGAAGCGCTGGCAGCAGTTCCGCTCTCCGTAGCAGTGGCGGTGGCTGTACCAGAGGCAGAACCTGAGGCGCTTCCTGTCTCAGCAGCTCCAAGTGTGCCTCCTCCGGTGGACTTGGGAGCAGAGCTATCTTCAGAGTCGGCGGCAGCCTTGGCGTAGTTGTCAAAGCTCTTAGCACCGCTGGTACTATTCGTTTGTTAGCATATGTAATGTTGATTACAAGATAGTGCAACTTACGGAGCATTTATGGCCCCTACCATGCCCCCTTGACAATGTCCTTGGACAGCGCAGTAGTACCAGATGGGATCGTCGGTCTTGACCTCGATGGTGAAGACCTTATCGCTGACCTTGGTCTTGACATTCTGGTCACCGCTGAAGAAGGCAGTGCTGTTGATGGGCTCACAGGGCTTGGCGAAGCTGCTCTGGGCAACGGAGTGGAAGCCTTCGTAGAAATGAAACTCTACTGTGTCTCCTATTTTCGCGGACGTCTGTGCAGGTGTGAAGTTTAAGCCGTTCTCACCGACCTTGACGACGTGGACGGCGGCAGAGACGGTGCTAGCGGAAAGGGCCAGAAGCTTGATTGGAGAGGCATGCATTTTGTGAAGATGGTGAAGATATGAAGGTGGTGAAGTTGAGGGTGGTCACGTGATGGATGTGAGTGTGCAAGTGTTTGTTGATGATACAATCCCATTCTTGGTAGTTCATCCCTCCTCTTTATAGTCATTCCAACTGATGTCAATTACATGAAGTCGAACTTAACTTTGGCCTCGCTGTAAGGTTCTCTAGGGTCGTCTGCTAACCTCAAACCAGGATGAAGCACAGGGGCGGCCGCCCTACCCCAAACATTCATTTAGCAGGCTAGGCGGGACAACAAACAGTGAGACTGAGACAGCCACTCGGCATATGCATACAGATCCAGGTGCTATGCTAGGTTTCCAGTGGCTCCGTATCGTCGCGGACAGTTTGATACCCCCGAACCAGAATTGGTTTCGTTTAGTGTTTTCTGTTTGACCTTTCTCCTCGAAACTCTCTGAGCGCTAGATCAAACCGGGTCCCAGACCGAGCCGAGACTCCCTGTGTAGCAAGCCATGAAGCGTCCGGCACTTTGATGCCGTTGAGCACGCACTCTCAAGCGCCCTGGCTTACACGTTTCACTTGTGCGCCAATGGAGGTAAGCCACTGCCGTGATATCCAACATTGTATTGGGCATTGAGGGGCTACAAGTATGCTGACGTTGAAATGTATTCATAGATCTCACTGTGCGCTTTGAGGTGCGAAATATTTCCCCTGGATTGTTTGTTGTGTATGCCTAACGTTAAGCGCTGGTCCTTTTGGGTTCATCGAATACGAATCCCACATTCTCGCCGATTTTAAGACAAGCATATTCGCAATTCAGATCTGAACGGTCGAACTACCGAAGCTAGCAGCACCCCAGGCATCCCTAGCCCTCGGTTCGCTTGGTGTAATACGGTTAATGCTATCGATGTTGTCGAAAGCGAGGCCTCCGAGAAGGTGTGCAATGTGCATTCTCTCGTGTCGGACTCAGGATATGTCACCGTAGTTTGGCGACATTATAAGTTTGTGACTGTGGTGATGCGGATACGAGTCTTGTTTGGCCCTTGGCTCGAAACGGCTGGCAACATCTCGACTAGTACAAACACAAAGGAAGGACTCGTAACATTGAATGGTGTAGGGGGATGATTCTCAAACTCCATTAGCATGTCACTACAGTTTTTCCAATAGCATGTTGTCTTGACACAATGTTGCTCTGGTATGTTGCACTTCTTCGCAGCATAACAATAACGTGCCTTTACATAATGAACGCCGAGATCCGCGAAAATACTACTGCAGCTTTATTGGATACGACTGCAAGTTTCGGTGAAAGCTGTCAGAAGCTCCATGTAGTACTCGTATTCTCGTCGGATATCTCGCGTTCTATGATGCTGACCGAGGCCTTACCCTAAAGGCATCACCACAATTACTACCCGGTTGGCACATCCAGGCCCATTGGTATCCTCGGGCATGAATTCTCGATGTAAAAGCTATAGGAATTATGCTTCACGCTTTTCATCGCTTGTCATCGTAGAACACGTGGTGAGTATAGCGAGGCTAGGGAAATATTTTATTTTGCGGTCCTGCGCCACGATCGGTACGTAAGTCTTGAGGTTTGTAATATTTTAGTAAATCTTTGTTAAGTTGTTACCACTGGCGCGGTTCAAGTTACTCGAACAATCATGGCCGGCGGATGGTTTATACAACTAAATCGTAGGCTTAAATGCCCAATTGAGGTAATCGCCAAGGCGAACTCGAACTCAAAGGAGATGAAGCTCTCCACATGCAGCCGGGCTCAGCACCTTCCGAATTGTGGCAGCACGGAGCAGTTAGGTAAGGTACCTTAGGCAGCACCTGAGCAATCACGTGCAGCTACCCATAGCTCCTGTTGGCCTAGCAACATGAGGTAGTCAATAGCGCACGGGCCACACAAAAACTCCTCTATATAATCTCGAGCTGCCTCTCTTCTTCTGCTCTTCTTTTCCTTTCTTCTTCATACTTACCTTGCTTGGAGTTTCCTCGCTCAAGAATGAGGAACCTCAGTGTGTGACGGCCTGCATTGCACATCGCGGAGTCGTCCGCACTTCATTGTCCTTCGGGGCCATGAGAGGCGTAATTTTTGATTTATAACCCATCTTTCATTGTGTGCTCAGCTTGATGCTGGGTCATGAAGAAGGATTAAGATAGACACAATGACATGTCTACGCGCTGCGAGAGTTGCCCACATTGAGAGGCAAATATACGGCCCGTGAAGATGGAAAACCCGAGATACCTACCCTCGGTGTGAAGGTACTTTCCACTCTGGCACAATGATATCCTCCTAAATGGCTAGCAAAATGCAAGGACGCGACCATGGGCGCGAAACGCAGCGGCAATGCAACTGCTCATACTCCGTACTGATGTCACGAATAGATAATGGATGTTATGTTTAGTGGAAGTTGTGTTCATATTAACTCAAATCGTATTCCTACACTCCGTCGTGATAGCCCCACATGATTACATTCTTCCTCAACTCCCGAAGTTATCGTGATATCGTCGTGATTCCTTACTGCTTCTTCCACTGCCCAGCATTCTCAACACCCTTGGAGATGCTGTCGAGTCCACCCTGAACGCCAGTTCCCAAATTGCCAATTCCATCCCCGAGAGGGCGGCCAGCGTCGCCAGTCGCGGAGGTTACGGTGTCTCCTAAACCTCTTGTTGCGGCTCCGGTCACATTTCCCACTGTACGGCCCAAGCCTCCTACAGTGTTTCCCACGGTGGAGGTGAGGAAGTTGAGACCTCCTCCAACCGTTTCGCCGACGTTACCCGCTGGGTTGTTGCTCTTGTTGTTCGAGTTCATAACGATGGTTGGGGGTTAGTTTTGATGGTGTGATGCTTGTGTGTAGAGATTTGTTTTGAGGCTTGAGATCTTGTAGATTGCAACTGAATAACTCTGAAATCAGCGGAAAGAAGCCTTTCTTAAATAAATCTACTCTTCTCATCGGAATCTCAACAATATCTTGTCCTGTAAATCATCAGCCAGGTTAGATCATGGGATGACGTCAATCCGTCAAAGTGGGCCGTGTTCATTGGATCAATATCTGACCACACCAGCCACACCAAACCTCTAAAATGACGTCCCTCGACACATAATTACGCATTCCGGTGTTTGAGACGCATGCAGAGGTGTCCCTCATCAGTGATATTATAGGGCAGAAGAACACTACTAGCAGGCATGCCCCGACAATTCCCATGGCGAGTTTATGTCATGTTCTGGCCCTTGGACCCTTGAAAGGCCGGAGAGATGCCCTTTGTGGCGCATTATCCGTTAGCTGTCATATCGTGAGGCTGTGACTGGTTGAGCAAGAGAATCGCGACTTACATCGTGCAGGTTTCGATGCGCACCTTGAGATCTTTGTGCGATGCGAGATGTTGAGTTGCATCGTCATGGCGACAAGATCTTGGAAGGCTATGACGTTGGACGCGCACGCAGGAGCACCATGTGAATAGATGTGTAATGTCATAGGAAGATGTGGAAAAATCAACATGGGCATGATCATCATGCCCGGCTTTTAGTTATGCTGCTCTAATAAAACTCAACTGAACCAAGGAATGCGCTACCTACCTAACCAATGTTGAACTCGTCTGCCGCGGAATTCATGAGCATCATACTCTTCTTCCTAATAATGTTCTGGTTTTGCCTCTCATCTCCAGCTGCCTGTTCTGTATTCTTCTCGACACCCTTATTTGTCCGCTTCTTAGTCTTCCTCTCCACACCTGCGCCAATGCCGCCAGGTGCTTCTCTCAGACCGTAGCTCTTTGCCGTATGCCCCAAGTGTAATTCTGAAATGTCAAAGTGCTTTCTCTCTTCCTTGGTATGCGTAGCATATGCCCTGATGTGGGACTTGAAGCCATTTCGAGCAAGCTCTAGTCGCTTGGTGTCCGTCAGGAGCCGTTGCTCGATGTGCAGCTGAAGTGCCTCCGCCTTGTCGTGGAAAGACTGTCCATCCTCCGGCTTCGCGGATGTCTCGACCGGAAATTCGAGTTTCGTCATCATTCCCTTCTGGAGAATAGAGTCGTAGGATTGCGGCGTTGGTGGTGTTGATGCTTTCAAGAGTTCGATATATCCTTCTTCAGTTCCGGGGAGCAGGAATAATAAAGCATCACCAGGTCGACCAGCACGAGCAGTACGACCAACACGATGGATATGATCGGCGAAACTGAACGCAGGGTCATACTCGATGACCAGATCGACCGACGGAATATCAAGACCACGCGAGGAAACATCGGTGGTGATAAGAAGAGATGGAGACTTGCAAGCTGAGAACGATCGCAATGTAGCTGTACGAATGGGCTGCGACAAAGATCCTTGCATCCTGTGCAGAACAACCTCGGGACTTGCTGGCGAAGTGATGTATGCTGCTTTTGCCACTGTCTTCGAAACCGACTCTGCATCCTTGGAGCCTGCAACAGGTGCCTCATTATTATTCGGGTCTCGCAACAGTTCGTAGTGGAAGTCGACAGAGTCGGCACATGATATGAAGATAATGGCCTTCATGGTCTTTCCACGCCGAGAGAATGTCGCCTTGAGGTACGAGATGAGAGTAACGAGCCGTAGCTTGGCCGGGACAACCGAGTAGTACTGGTGAAGCTGTGCGGGCGCCTTCATTTCTGTCTTTTCCACATCCAGCTCCATCTCCTCCTTCTTTGCTGCCAGGAATGTCGCATCCGCCAAACTCATCTCTCCCAGCTTCTGCACGTTCATCTTCATTGTCGCTGAGCACAGCACTGTAACTCTTCGTTCGGGTAGGGCCGTGAGCGGTGTTCCATCGGGTAGTTTGTCGGATACGTCAACTGCCTTGATAGCCGTGATAACCTTCTTCAAGTCGTCCTCGAAACCCAGATCCATGAGTCGATCACCTTCATCAAGAATCAACCATCGAACAGTGCTAAGGCTAAGTGCCTTTGTATTGTCGATATGATCAGCAAGTCGTCCAGGAGTAGCAACCAGAAAATTGACACCCTTCCGTATGCGAGCCTTTTCCGCCTTCTTAGATTCTCCTCC